GTCCGTCAACATTTTAGGAATCCACCTGGCACACAGGCGTCTCATATTGACTTAATCGTGAATAATGCGATGCACTGTGCCAATGCTACAATGATCTTTCGTTTATTTCGCGAATTGTTATCCGACTATCATTGTCAAGCAGCTCCTTTATCACAGCAACGTGATTTGACGTAACGTTGGGACGTCCACTGCGTTTGTCGTCATGGATACTTTGTTGACCGCCTAGAAATCGGGCATTCCACTTGTTCATTGCTGTTTTCTTCATTGCCTGAACACCATATGCCTTTTGTAATCTTTACATCCTTTCTTTCTTTAAAAACCAGCTCAAAACATAAAATTTTATTGAAGAACGTTGTTCCGATTCCATTTTAAAGCATACGGACTAAACAATATGGCCGCTTAACGCCTAAATGACGTCACACACTAACATGACGTCATGTGCGTAACGCCAACATATTGCGCGTAAAGTATGCAAAGTTTGGTGAAAATCGCACGGTAACGTTAAAATGCGATGTCATTATTAACCAGTGACTATTTGTAATAGTGAACTAAAGTGGGCCAGTAATCGCTACACGTGGTTACCATAACGACCGTTTGTTAACATATGATTCATGCCAAAACGGCAATATTTGCTGTTTATTTTCAAAATATGTTTGTCTCTATTACTGTATTAGTTTTATTCAGCTAAATTGGAAAATAGGAATAAGGAAATAGCGACACTTTTCCGCATATTTATTGAACTGCCCTCGTACATATATGTACATGAATATTCACTGCTCAATACCAATATGCTTTTCGTAAATATCCTTAGTTTACGATACTTATTAATGCATATTACAATCAAATAAAGCGCACAACACTTTACAAAAATATTTCCTCTGCTGTTTACAACTTTTTGTCGTGTTCCTGTGATCTTTTAAATCACAAACTGAATAAGTGGCAGAGGATTGTGGTATATCAGAGAAAAGTCGATGAACGTTTCATGTTCAATATATTAAAGACGTTTTCGGTAGTTTTCTGTGCGCATCGTTATGCGCTTCCAAAAAAGATAATCACGGATAATTACTCTTAAAAAAAGTTTAAAAAGATATATTTTAAAAGTGTTGAATAAAAAAGAAAAATAATATCTAAGAAATGTTCCGAATTTCATTATTTTCTTTGTAAATATCTGAATACTTGCTTACTGTTCGGATATTTCAGTCGAGTGAAAAAATAATATGGCTCTAAATATGCTTTAAAAACATCTTTAGTATTATTTACTTAATATAACATCAAAAATAAAAGAAATTTTTATTGCAACATGTTTTTGTTGTATATTTGACAAAACATTTAGTATAACACTGATATTTCTTAAGAAGGCGTGGTAATTTTGACAGTTGGCATATGCGGTAACCATGGAAACTGCCCGTTTACAAAACCTAACACGTCAACATATATTTTTATTTCTATTTTTGAATCAACAATAAAATGTTACTTGAAATATCAAAATTGTAGAACATTCTATGAAAGAAATTTCTTGATAGATCTAGCTTTAATTTTTTACAGAATTCATGTTTAATTTTCTCATTTTTTTGTTTAGTTAAAAAACATGAAAAACTCATTTTTTAAGTAAATAGGTTCCAATTATCGTTTGTTTTTTACAGAACCCTAAGATAAAGCAAGCTTTGTATGAAATGTTTATTGTGACTGTGATAAACTGTCTTATACATTTTTATAACACAGTTTGGCTATTTTGACAATTTTGAGATATACGGTTACCATAGAAAATGCCATTTTTCAAAAAATCCAACACGTCAACATATATTTTTTCTTTTTTATGTTTGAATTCGTAATTAAATTTTACACAACATACAAAAAAATAGAAATTCTATGAAAGGCTTAAATTTTCATAAAACTGTAGAAAATGTCTTTAAGCACTTATATTCAGTTCTAAAAAGATTATCACAAAAACTATACATTTTATAATTGAAACGAATCTAAAACCTTTTCGCCATGCACTTCGAAATAGTATCATTCATTTAATTGGACCGTTTAAACACAATTATGGAGTCCTTTCAAGACTTTTATTGGGTTGTTCTTGTTTCTTTTTAAACACAAGATATTACTAATAACACTCAAAATACAGTTTATACGTAATGGTCGTCATAATGAAAGTTTGACAGCAAACCCTCACTACATAATATCTGTTCTCTGTCTAAAATAATTCAAATGGCAAAATATCTACGAAACGTTTTTGGACACAGCAAACCCTCACCCCGTAATATCTGTCCTCTGCCTTGAATAATTCAAATGGCAAAATATCTACGAAACCGTTTTTGTACACTGTAAAGTTAATTCTTTACAAAAAATCAATATATGTATATATTTTTATAGTTGTTTTCTCAGAAACATTACGACAAAAATATGTTTGCAAATACCGAATCTAGTCTCTGTGAATTTTGCTGTAAGGATATTGAAAGTAAAGGCCTCAACAGACGGTAGGATTTAGTTGTACAACACTAATTAGAGATAAGATGTACAATTTTCAAAGCTATACAACACATGCATTCAGACGGTAACTCTATACTGTAAGAATCATCTGATGTTTCCCCTAAAAAAGGATCCCTTTATATTGATCCTTTACATACTTTTACTCACTAAATACTTTTTTCGCCATGAGTAATGATTGAAACACCTCCATTTTAAATATATGTATATATTTTAATGTGAAGCCTGACCGAGACTCAAACCTGGGACCCTCGGAATACCGTACTGCGGCTCTACTGACAAACATATCTGGTCGCCTACAAACTACCTCCCCTCCCCTAATTAGAGAACAATTCAATACCGTGACATAATCATTTTAGGAATAATTTGGGATTCGAGCCTAACACAACTTTGGGTCTCCTGAAGAGTTTTACAACATCTTTTTTACCCCATCTTACTACTATGTTTACCTTTTAGCCCTAATTGTTCTGGAATTTCATTAATTACACCCACTATCAGGAGATAATTTGGTTATCTGTTACTTGTCATTGTGGGAGGTCTGTAAAAATCTGTACGACAAGATTTTCAAAATAGAACATGTCCTATCCCTTACATCTAGACTTAAGGTTTCCGAAATCAAGAAATAGTAGCCTTCACACATTAATATTTGTCTGTACATCTTAGTTTTAATTGGTGATGTACTTCAAAATCCTACTGTCTGTTGAGGCCTTAAAGAGCTTTTTCTTTGGAACTGTCAAACGGTACAAATGGTCACAACTTTAGATGTATGTATGTACGTATGCGCATGTATGTATGTATGCGCATGTATGTATGTATGTATGTATGTATGTATGTATGTATGTATGTATGTATGTATGTATGTATGTATGTATGAGCATGTATGTGTGTGTGTGTGTGCATGAGTGTGCGTGTGTGTTTGTATCTAGATGATCCCCTGCTCATCTTACGTTATCCTTTCGTACATCTTCTATAAAACCTAGAGTATAAGTTCGTGAAGACGATCTCTTAGTCCTCTTATATGATTCCTCATATATTTTTTTATGAAAGAGAATATGTATATTTTACTTGATATCCTTACTTAGGTTTATATGGTGGTTAAATTATTTGGCATATGAGTGAAAAAACATTATACGATTGTATGTCCAGAGGACTTTAAAATCTATTTCATACCATTTTTAGACGTACGTATATATTTATAAGGGGGATTAAGCATATGCACTATTTACAAGTGACATACACAGAGACATTGTTCATTTCCGAACTTTAATCAGAATGATAACACATGATCAGAAAAAAATATGCTTAATTTATTAGCGGGGCTTAATATGTTAAGTGTTAGAACATTTTGATTCTATCCCATGATTCAAATAATCGAATAAATATTTTTCTGTAGACAATAAATATTTTTAATTATACAATATATATTTTTAAATGTAGAACATACACATAGAAAATTATCTCACACAAATATTTATTATGGTATAAAATATGAAATAAGAGTTATACAATAGAAATATTGGATATAGACCAAAATAGATTTATTGATTTTTGCAACGTTAAGCGTGCCATACACGCACAGTTCCGAAATTGGCTTAAAACTACTCTTCTGATAAAGACATTGTTACATGTATGCAACGCAACAGGAGGACATCTTTACTTTAAGTGCTATATTGTATCACTTTCATTACCCAACTCCGTCCAAATCTGGTGCGTGACTAAATCTTTATCACTGAAAAAAGCGGACTTCTTTCGGAACTTGCATTTAACAGCATTAGAGTCTGAAATTTCGCTACCATGATTTGTTTGGTCTGACGACACAAACAAATAAAAACGAGTATGCCTACCGAACTAACACCTAATCTTTACTTCAGTTCCTGTGACATATTTCTATGTCTCACTAACCAGATAGAAAAATCCGTAAATGTTACTAAAAATAACGGTGTTGGAAAATCTTATCTCACATGGGCTTATCTCATACTGAACGTGCAGCACTTCTAAAAACGATCGATCGAACAAATTTAGTAATAACAAGTTTGCCCTTTTTGTTTGATCGATCGAACAATATATATATATTTGTTCGATCGATCGAACAAAATGTTTGTTGTATGTATTTATTCAATGTTTTAAGTCAAATTTTCAATAAAATTGAATGAGTAAAGAGTCACTTCTTTTTTGTATTCACCATTAGTGAAAAAAAACTCCAATATTTACAACCAAAAACCCTATTTTAAGGTTAAAAAGAGGGACTGATTGGACAATCCCTTTTTATTTTGGAACGAGATTAATCTATAAATATCTAATTGAATAGACTCTCCAATGCATTTCTCGATAGTGGAAGGTGTGGGGAAACGTACATAAAACGCTATATAACGTATGTAATGACGTAAACACTTCAATCGACGTTGAAGCCAAGGTATACTTTTGCAGTAAATCATTTTCAACTCAAATTTTATCATCATATATTCTCCTACCAGTATGTTTTGATAAGAATTCAACATCTAAACGTTTACATACTTTACACATCTGTGTAAACTTGATTAGGTATATTCAAACATATCTAAATTTAAATAAAGTTAAGTCTTTAGTTTCCTTCTTCCAGGTATCATCAAACAGTTCATTTTGAGCGTCACTGAACCAATTCTTCCAATCGCCAACTTCACCTATAAGGGAATATTAAGTTGTAATACCAGCTAATATCTTAAGACAAATAATCGTTCATAATGTATGACAATCATGTATACCTTTTTCAACTTCAATCAGATTTTTTTCTTGACATAACATTTCCTGTAAAGAACTGTTTAGTCATCTTAAAAAACGCTACGCTTTATGAAAAACAAAAGATAGATCAGGAAACCTTAACCGACTGTTATAACAAAACTCAACATAAAATATGTGCAGTTAATTATATACAGAGTACAATTATGCTGCAAACATTAATGTAACAGCAAAAAGGAACCATATGAAAGAAATTATACTGATAAATTTTTTGAATATATATATATATATATATATATATATATATATATATATATATATATATATATATATATATATATATATATATATATATATATATATATGTGTGTGTGTGTGTGTATATTTATTCTCTATTACAGCTGAATATCCGAATCACTTATCATTTTATTCTCCATGTTTTTGGTATAGGCTCGTTGTGTAATAATAAAGTTGCATATTATGTTGTGTGAAAAAGTAGCACCTAATGCATAAATTCACAAAGTAATGCCACGTCTGAAATTCTGAAATGTTTGTTGCGACAAAGAATGAAAGGTCTGGTCGAAGCGAAAAAAATGGGATAACAAGTGAAATTTAAATGACTGATATATTTAAAACATATTCAAAACAAAGCAGAGGTAAAAACATCTTCTTTGCGCCGGGAATATGTCCATTTAAATATTGGTGCAAATTGCATAAAAATCGAATGATTTTGAGGACGAACTTTACCAAGGGAAGGGCTTTATCTAATGTTGTAAGAACTTGTTGCCCAACCCATTTGCATTTTGATATATACTCATTATTTGTACGATATTTTTGTAAACATGTATTTAATGCAATAAAATATGTTTAAATTAAACAAGACGACAACGCACCGTTTGGCGAAATGGTACAGATTTCAGAGACAATTTTCCCGAAATTTGAATCTTTGTGAGTACGATTTATTAAATTTGAAAAATGTGTTGTTATAGTATTACATATTTGTGTAAGTAAATTCTTATTGAAAGAACGTTTTAAGGCTTTGCCTTAATTTAAGATAAAAAAATATTTTCATTAAAAACCCTTTGTATAATAAATAGATAAAATACAAAAGGAATAGGGTGTATGAAGTCAAATAAAAATGCAAAGGAGAAAATTAAGTATCCTGATATCCTGGGAAATGTGTTTAATCAAAAAAGATTACCTTTTCTGAAAAATTCGAAGTCCGATTTCGTGAACGGCTTGTAGTTTTTACCTTTATCTGATTTCATTTTGTCGAACTTACACATCTCAATGATGTCCTGTTTCAGCTGGTCATCTAATTGTACACCAAGAAACGCCAGTAATTTGTCTAATTCAGCTCTTCCATCCTTCAAAATAAAAATAAATAGATAAATAAATAAATTTAAAGAAAAAGCTACCGGAATATCATAACCATTATCGGTGTATTATACAAGTACTCTGCATTTTTAATATCTATACATTTTATATGGTCGACAACCCAAAAATGTTTTGAAGTGTAGGTGGATTGCGTGAGCATTAGAAAGTACTGTGAATTAATGTATATTTTAATAGAACATGATTTTCTCTATCCTAGTTATTATAGCACAAATGACCTAGAAATTGTTTCGTTGAACGGTTTTCAGCGTTATTCATTCTTGCTGATGAGCGGATGTTGATGTTATTATTAAATAGAGGCGAACGGTTGGTGACATTACTCAAATTTTGAAGACATTTAATCTTAAATACTCGATATCTTAAAAAAATGCTTACGTCTACGAATCGTATATTAAAATGATTTATTATCATCCGAAGTTTTTGTAACTTATTTTAAGAAATGCTTAATCTCAGCGGAAAGTGTGGTTATTTTCAATCAAAATTCACGTAAAATAAAGCCTGCATAGGTAGCAGGCTCCTTTAGATGTTGACTATGAATCCATAACATTTAACACAGTCGGAATATGTTTAAAGAAGATAAATACTTGGAACATTTATTTATCAAAGTGAAATTTTACGAATGTTCACTTACCTGTTGATAACAATAAGAAGTCACCTGTAACTCGCCTGTTCTAGAAATATAACTATCTATCTATAAAAGGTAGATATCTATGAGATAATTTCAGTAAAGTCTGGCGCTCATAAATATGAGTCAGCACATTACTGAAAGAGGAGTTTGGGTTGGTATAATAATGGTATCATCAGGTAAGTATATATTTATAAAATTTCAATTTGATGTTTAAATTTTCCAATTTTATTCCATATCGCTACTTACCCGATGATAACGATAATGATTATCCAGATTTCAAAGCAGTATTTCTTCCACTGGTTTGTGGGTTTTCAGTTATTCATTGATGTATTGTTTATAGCATATTTGCACTGGATATACACTACTGAACTATTTACTACACTGATATACAGAAGTAAAAATCCCATTCATACATATCCCTCCATAAAATACTTCTTTGCACTGTATACATAATACCCTCCTTTTAATAACAACTACACAACAAGTTACAGTTATTTATATCGAAACACTGTAGTCTCCCATTTTAAGGCAGTAAACATCATATTTTGTTGACGCAACTCGCCGGTTATTTACATTTTTGTATATTATTGAAATATTTCTGTATTAACAGATTTCAAATAAAACTTTATAAAAGCAGACACTCTTGTCCCATCTGCAAATCTGCAGCTTTCATGATAAATTTTGATGGAGTTTCTTTCAGATGTGCCCAGAAAGCTCCTAAAAACTTTCTCTGACTCCTATTCAGGCTCTTTATATGCTTTCTGTACAGTTTTCCTTATCCAAGCAACAATGGTTTGATTAGTTACTGGTCTATATGGTCTGCAAAACGAAATAAACACGTTGTTTCATCTTTACCATTAACTAAGCTATGAATTATTTGTGCGTTTTAAATAAATGGCCAATGCCCTTTTAGGATCTAAAAGTTTGTAAGACGGGAAAGCTGGAATAAATATATATGGTGATATGTGGCCAGGTCTATCTGTTTAAGAAATTTCAGTCCTTATGAATGTAATGCCTCAATTCTGAACATTGACATTATTTTCTCCAAACTTCAAGGAATTAATGTCACTACGTCGCCTAAATGTAGTGACTGTTATTAGAGAAACAGTCTTAAAAGTAACAAATTTCGTATGTGTTTTCATCATAGGCTCAAAAGGAAATTTTTTCAAGGCTGTTAAGACCAAATTTATTCCCAACGATGGAACTAACTTTAAAGTGGGTGGTCTTGAAATGAAAACACATTTTAAAAGACTTATGACCAATCGGAAAATTATCAACTGGCGGTAAAACAGATGAAAACATTGACCTGTAGCCTTCTATAGAATAATATTTAAGCCTTCATGAAAGAGGTCTGCCAGAAAATCTGTAAACGGTATCAAAGTTGCATTTTATGGATTCATTTTCCTTTGATTACACCATCGACTAATTGTTCTTAATTAACATTTATTGAGTAATTTTTCCTAGCACCTGCTCGCCAAGAGGCTGAGAGAAGTTTTCGAGATTTCTTTGAAAATCCCTCTGTTCTTAAGGATTTGTCGATAAAAGCCATGCAGTCAGACTTAACGTTTTTGGATTTTGATGAAGAAGTTTAGTGTTTTGTTGACTAAAAAGGTCTTTCTAGGAAGGTAGCTTGATTGAATAAGCTACCAGAAACTGTAAAAATTGTGGGTACCACGGTCTTCGTGGCCAACACGGAGCAAATTGTAGAATTTTACAATTATACATTTAATAATCTGGGAATAAGAGCTATTGGTGGAAAAGCATATGCAAAGATCTTTTCCTGTGATATTGTCAGGTATATGTTTGAGAACAATGACTCCATGAACAAAAAACTGATAGTTTGAGGTTGTGAATTGATGCAAAAAGATCTATTGAGAGGTGACCTGATTTTCAAGAAAATTGCATTCAGAACTGATTGTGTGTCCATTTTGTTTGTTTTAATACTGTTCGTGATAACTGGTCTGCAAGTACATTTAATTTTCCTGTCACATGGGCAGCTCTGACAATAGTTTTGTTTTGAAGTAACATTTGCCATAAATCCCAGGTTTTTATTAAAAATTAAGGATTTTGTTCACATCTGCTTGTCTATTCATGTAAACTGTACCAGTGTGGTGTTGTCTGACTGTATTAAAACATGTTTGTTCCTGAGATATGGAACAAAATTTTTGATAGGGCGGTGAACTGCTTCCATTTCCAAAATATGTTGTATTTTTTCTGTTTCTGTCCAATGACCTATTTGATTTCCCAGATGTGAATCAGGTCTTGAATCAATGTCTGGAATTTTCCTATCAATTCCGGCAATTGTTGCTCCTCTACGAACAAGATGGTGAAAAACTCATGCCCGTGTAGTTTTTTTACCAATTAAATGCGATGCAATTCAAAAATATCCTTTGTTGACTATATAGCAGCATGAAAATATGGATCTTTATCCATTAGTAAAGTAAGAAGTTTAACTCGACCTTGTTGCATGTACATGATCATAGTGAGAGCTACACTTAATGCACTTTAACTTTTGTAAGCTAATTTTTCAATATTCTTACAAGATGAACTTTATAAAATATGCCTGTCTTTTGTAAGATGCATTCGACCCATATCTATCTTTGAGCAAAATCTCATTTTTTGGATCTAAACATGGAACCTTCAAAAGTGGTTTGAATTCTCCACTTACTGTGAAATTTTCGAATGATTCAAGTTTAATAGTTGACATTTCATTCGACTCTCGACATCTCCAAACAGATTTCAATAAGTCTTCCTGAGATTTATCCAAAATCAATCCTGATGGTCAAGATGTTTCGGGTTTTGGTCCAAACATTAAAAAAATGTCACGGTTCTCTTTTGATAATCTACAGTTAATAAAATAATTACTATTCTCATTTTTAGAATCTGAACTGTCTGACAACAATGAAAGTACTGATTTTGTATTACACTTTAAAAGCACATATCATTCGTCAACATGTCGAAGCAAATCAAGATGTTCTTGTCTATGTGGATGGATTGATGAGTCGTCATTACTCTGTGACTCATTTATGGTCTATGGTCCGAAGGTGAAGATATCCGCGGCCTTTTATGGTCTGGAAAGTCGAGTTTTCGCGACCTAGCAAGGTCCGAATGATGAACTATTTGCGATGTTATATCATCCGAATTACTGTTAGCAATTGCAACATCTGGAAATTCACTCTCCACCCAATCCATCAAGGATTCAAACCTACTGCACTATTTCCGTTCCATGCGTTGCTCTAATAAATTCATTTTAGAAAACTGTTTCCTCGTTATTTTGTTTACCGGAAGACTCTTCAAGGTGTAAGGATAGGAATATCCCCGTTAACACTATCCCGCCCCCAAGACGAAAGGGTAGCAGCTGTAAAATCAAATGACAAATCTGCCTCGGTCATATCAAAAACACAACTGACATATAAAAAAGGAAGGTGACTCAATAAGCGCCGGAAATTTACTGGAGTTAACTTTGTTGTCTGTAGGTTTGTTTATACTCGGCGCCGGAATAACGATATGTCCGAGAATTATTAGCGTCCATGCCAGTCAACTGTTGTAATCACATTGAGACGTCTTTTAATGCAGAATCTTTCTGGAACCTGTTCTTCGCTCGTTGGTGGTTGACGAAGACGACAATACTGTCCAAGGTTTCAGCTTTCCGGCGGCATTCGTACAATAACTATCATTAAAAGCGGCATGACAGGTCAAACAATCATCTGAGGTACTTTAGATGACTTGACCTTGACCTGCCGTGTGCTTTCTCCGCGACACGTTCGCCTCTTGAGGGATTTGAATAAGACTGAAGTTAAGTCGTGGATATCTTCCTGTTAAAGGTCGATAGTTCTATTTTTAGAACAGGCGAGTTACAGGGAACTGAGCATGGATAATTATTATCGTTATCATCAAGTTAGTAGCGATATAAAATAAAATGACCGTCCGTCAATTACGTTTTATACCGACGAATATACTTGTACGGATGTCGACGCGTTGATCGGCTGTCTATCCATTTGATTTTACGGTGTAATAAAGGATAAATAACACATTATACAGACAAACCTTTTTAAGATCCTCGTAGTACATGATATGAAGCGGAAATCCTGGATTGTCGCCTGCTAAATGTTGCCACTCTGACAAATATTCACTGTACTTCCCATACTCAACTTAAAATGAATGTATACAATTTAACCTATCTTTTTATTTAAGATCAGTAATTACTATAAGAGGTATCAACATGGAACTTTGTAGATAGATAAATCTTATTGAGAAGGTGTGCAGTGCACAAGAACCATAACTCTGCATTATAATAATCTGAGCGAAAGTTGGTATTCATACATACTTGCCTATATAAACAAAGGTGCACTCATGTCCATTACTTAAACAGACACAAGCGGGAACCCGAGTTAAACAATCGGTCCTCCTCACATGAAGGCATTCAAAGTCCTAAGCGGGATTTGAACCTGCAGCCCTGAGAGGCTCGTGGTTTTTAGTCAGACCCTCGGCTAATAAATACCATACAAATACTCAAATTATTATTGCAATATGATAAACTATGTAGTGCTGTAGGATATATTAATTTAACAAGATATCTTACTATTTATAATAGACATGTTTAGATTTGAAGTACCTTACACATACATTTAGCTGGCTGGTTAAAGTCATTGACTTCAAACCACTTGCCCCTCAACACGGCAGTTTTGATATTTATAAATTCAAAACTTTACCATTTCTTGTTTAAATGTTGAATTCTGCTTAAGCCTGTACCAGGGGACGTGGACGGTAGTTTGCAATTGACAGTACCGTCCATGAAAAGGCTCAGTCAAACTGAGCCTGCAACATTTTAGCTTACAAAACGGTGGTAGTTCAACTCAGATTTCCGTTCGTGCCTGAAAATAATAATAATGCATAGAAGGACACTTGATGTTTTCCTCCAACAGTACAGCTGGAACGACGCAATATGACCTATACTGTATAGGTGCAACGTAAAATCCAACCAATAAAAAAGAAAGAAAAGAAAAACAAATACACTAACATTTTCCCTTCAAAAACTCTGGTAGCCAATCCACCCACTTTCCGTCATAGTCGTTTAACGTTATTCCCTTCAGATGGCAATAGTATGACACAGCTTGGTCCTTTGGGTTTCTTAAACACAAGACCGTTTTGATTTTCTTTGATGTCATTCCAGGTTGAGGAAGAAATCTGCAAGCATAATGGAAAGGTCGTAGCAATATAAAAACAAGTTAAACAACAATAACTATGACAATGCCACGCAACAATGTTTTCGAATGTTTTATTGGTTGAAAGTCATTAAAAAATCAAGGTTTATTTGAAGTACACAATATAACAGTTTAACCACGAAAGACCGATTATGGCATTTCAAATTCTTGAATCATCGGGTTCTACTTTACAAACCCAACACACACTTGTGAGGGTCAAGATTTCACCATCTGACACCCACTAGAAACCTGGACAACCTTATACCATACTCAAGGACAACTTAGTGTTACCGTTTCCGATTTTTAAGCAGTATAATGTAGATGTAGATCTTCACGAATTCATGATTACAACTTCATTCCAATCATGATTTAAACTTAACGAATTCGCGATTTAAATTTCTTGAATTCACTTTAATTTAACTTCACAAATTTACGTTTTTAACTGCATGAATTCGCAATTTCAACTTAACGAACTCACGATTTCAACTTCACGAATTTGAGATTTCAACTTCCCAAATTTACGATTTTATACGTCACGAATTCAACATTATGAATTCATGTTTTTAACTTCACGATTTCAACTTCAAGAAGGTGAAATCTTAAATTGGTGAAGATGAAACCGTGAATTCGTAAAGTTTTTAATCATGAATTCGTAAAGTTGAAATCGTGAATTCGTAAAGTTGAAATCGTGAAATTCAAAGCGTGAATTCGCGAAGTTGAATGCGTGAAGTTAAAATCGTAAATTTGTGAAGTTGAAATCGTGAATGCTTGAAGTTGAAATCGTGAATTCACGAATGCCGTATGGTGAAAACGTGAATTAAGGAAGTTATAATTGTGAATTTCTCGAATATGAATTTCCTAATTCATGAAGTTGAATTGTTTCAAACCTGCCTTTCGTGTAATTCAGTTCTAAATGTTGTTTTGTGCAAACAAAATGCATCAATGAATAAAGTCATTCCAAATTCAATGTTTTGTTAATATGAAACTGATGATCAAGGACATTGGGGTTCAAAATTATAAACCCCCTATGTTGTATGATATGTTGTTCAACAGCTCGTGTCCGTCTCTGGGGGTTCGAATCCAGAACGGGCCTTTAGATTTTGCATGTAATGAAGCTATCCAACTAGCCGGTGATTCTACGCACGTGCCCGCTCATGTCTGCGATAATGCACGGCACCTGAGGTCTTCCTTTACTAGTAAAGCTGAAAAGTCGTCATATGACCTATACTGTGTTGATTCGACGTAAATCCCCACGCCCCCAATAAATAAATAAAAAATATATAAAAAATAATAATAATAAAAAATAATAAATAAATAAATAAATACTAGTATATAAATAAAAAAATAAGAGATTCTTTGTCGGGATATTTTTTTGAATCAGTGTACATAAATAAATGAGAAAGTCAAAATACAACACTGAAAGAAATTTCCATATTTTAACTTTACAATCAAATGACATTTTAAGGTAAAGGTAATTAAAAACCGTCATATATGAGTGTGAGTTAAATCCATCCGAAAATTACTAAAGGTATGACCGTTTATCATTTTTGTGTTTGTTTGAGTAACGGTAAAATAGGGAGCCCAAAATGACTAATAAGGGAATGCTCCACATAAGCTTGATATAAACAATACATCAATTCTTACTGCAATTATTGATCGGTAAACGTTTTTAAATATTCATATACAGTAACATTGAACTTTAAGAGCCTAAGCCTCTCAAGTGAGGTCTTTACATAAGATTGCCAAGTACTAAGTTTGATTACAGTATATCATTCATAACTCTGGTTATCGACTGGAAACACATTTGTTGTCTATTTTTAGTGCAGCGACCTTGATCTGGACCCAAGTGCAACCGAAAGCAGTGTATCCACGTAAGCTTGCTATACAGTTTGATACCATTATCTCATTCTTAACTCTAGTTATTGGCTTGCACACATTTTTTTCTGCATGGTATATGATATGTGGTTATCATGTTGTGTCCGCCTCCATGAGTTTGAATCTTACGTTTAATCAAGGTTAATCAAATATGTCGTTTTTGTCAAAAATGTTTTAAATTTTAAGTACGAGTTAAATTCATCCGGAAATTACTAAAGGTATGGCCGACAATTATTTTTCTGTTTTAGTACAAGTTAGTAAGGTATCCCAAAAGCACTTATAAGGGAGTGTTCACATAAGCTTGATATATACCAAGGTTGATTGAACCATTTTTTTTATTTTCATAAACAGTGATATTGACCCTTAAGAGCCCCAAAACATCTCAAGTGAGGTCTTTACATAAAATTGCCTAGTATCTAGTTTGATACAGTATATCATTCATAACTCTGGTTATCGACTGGAAACACTTTTGTCTATTTTTTAGTAGAAGCGACCTTGATCTTGACCCAAGTGCAACCGAAAGCAATGTATCCACGTAAGCTTGCTAGTTGCTATACAGTTTGATAACATTATCTCATTATTTTTATCTACTATAGCAATAATGACCTCGGCCCAAAAGAGCCCAAAAGCATCCCAAGTGCGGTCTGTCCATGGCACATCGGAGAAAACAAATTCTTTCAAACCCTTTCATTCATATAAGTCAATCTTCAACTCTAAATGAATTGGAAACACTTATCTTAAATAACATATATAAGGTAAAATTAGGTACAAGTTTACTGATGTGTGGACACAAGGAAAGACGTTTGGCACAGTCAGCGGGAAAGCTCTTTGCAGTAACTGATGACGATTCATATAATAAAATCTCTTTGAAAACCCGTTTCTAGACATCGCTGAAGGAGTCAAGACCTATAAGAGAATTTATTCAACATTAGTTTTTAAAATGAGTGTAAGACCAACTATTTCTTCTCATTCATTATAAGAACTTGTACAAGTTGTATTTACCTGGGTGGTAAATGACTGTTTATAATCCGGGGAGAAGGTTGCTTATCAATCACTTCAGCAAAATTAGCTTCAAGCATAGTAAACACTTTGCTTGATTCTATCCGGGAAGCCGACCTATTCTGAATCATCATCAATATTTCATAAGCCCAGTTCGTGCCTGTATATATATAAAAAAACAGCAATAAAGTGTCATACTTGGCACTGTTTCTAAACTGATAATTTTCAATTATGATAGATTTTAAGTAAGAGTGACCTTTTAAAAGCAATTATCAGTTTGTTTGGTACAGTTATTCAGTATTTTCTACATGTAAATGCACGAATAGACTGTGAATAAAGACATAAGTGCACTAGCCTAATTATGTAAACCTTACTTTTATTGTTTTGTGTGAAAATGTGTAAGCTTCCTGTTGTTTTTGTAATTTTAGAGTGCTACAAATTTAAACAAATTATTTCATTAGCCTCAAATATCTTTGTATGTCTGTCCAAAAACTTTAACCTTGCTCATAAAACACAAAATGACCTTCAAACTTCATAAGTTCATTAACCAACCCCTGACTATGTTGACCTTTTCCCAACAATTTTTACCATGGTCACTTCTATATATGATCTGCAACGTTTATATTTGTTTGTCCTCGTTGTAATCAATTCAAGAAGTACTTAAGCATATATATTTGAATATACATTTTATTCTAGTTAATGAACATTTAAAACACACTATATACTAATTTCTGCATATAAAAGGTAACAAGCTGTTGTTACGGCCTCAATTGACTTGTTTGGCATATAGGATTTAAACCACTCGGTTAACAGTAATGTACAATCAATTTACATTTATAAATCTTTAGAACTTATATATTTAGCATTTTTCATCAAAAAATTAAACAGTACATTGATCATGAAATGATTTATAAAAAGTGGTTGCATTTTTTTTTAATATATGTGAGTTAAATCAAACCAGTTTTTCCAAATGTACAAAGCATGATGTCTTCGTCACGAAACGTAAAATTACGAACGTTGTCAACTATCTGTTTTATCTCATGCGCTTGTTTAAAGAAACTACCAACTGCGATTCCTCCAATATCCACCATAGTCACCGTCGCGCCACCTGCATCAGGAACTTTAACTTCCGTCATAATTGCAATCTATAAATAGACATCGATTATCAAAGGTGACGACTGCACATTTTCTCTTACAAAGATGATGTCAAGGTAACTTATAAACATTTGCAGAAGACCATATCCATTTTATGTCACATAAAAATCTTAATAGCAATTTATGGAATCATTTACTTGCAATTCTGAAATTTTCTTTTGTCTTGAGAACAAAAATATAGTTAATGACACATTTTTAGACCTTGTACTTAAATTTTCTTGTAAAAAAGGTAGGAAGCAGAGAGTCCCCTTATTGACAAAGTATTATGCTAAAACCTTAAAAATTGCTCTGTAAATGATGTTCATTTTTTATTCTATAAATACAGGATATTTGCATTGGTGGCATGAAAACAATTTTATGTGATTCGGTTTCTACGAGTGATAGAAAAAACTTAATATATAGAAAACACTTGAGCTTGCTGTTTATTATATACATTGTTATCTTTTTTGACATTCCAATTTGAAAGGCTTTCCTTTTAATGTTATGTATTGGCCGAATTAAGAAGAAAATAGTCCAGCAATAAACCTACGTTTCACTGCAAAAAATAACAGTGACAATTCAAAATAACGAATTCATCAATATATCATTAATAAGTAGTATCTATATTATTAATGAAGGTACTTTTTTAAACATAAAAAGTGAAATAAAAAGCAGTGTACAGTTTATATAGTACGTAATAATATTAAATTTTTACGAATTTATATTTCGAAATTACGAAATAATATTTCGTATAAACTAATTAATATTTCGTAAAAACGAATTATCTGTTCGTAAAAACGAATTAATAGTTCGCAAAAATGAATTTAGTCCCGGAAAAAAATGCCTAATTAGGGGCTCCGTAAGTTAAGATAAATAATGTTAAGGTATACATCAAAGCATAATTAATTAATGCGTCTTAGTAAATATAATTGTTTAAATCTTAAAACGCAACTAAAAGAGTAAAACAAGGCCAATATACACCGAATGAAAATTTGTTTGAGTAATATAAAAAAAAATAGGATTTGACATATTTTCTCATAAGTAAAATATTTCCAACATACATTTATATTTCATACGAGTGAGTCTAAATACACATAGTGACCCCCACCCATGGGTTGGGATATTTTCACCCCAGGATCATGATATATTTCATCGGTTCGAAAGATACAGAGCGGAACACAAAGAATAGCCGATAGACGGACGGACTGGTGGATAAACAGACTACCAGGTGCATAATACTATACGCCCGACCATCATAAGCTAAGAAAATCGCTTACCCATATTTAAAACATATACATTAACATGTAAACAAGGTAATCTGTTTATAAAGAAAACAATAAGGGATATCATTAATAAAACCAGATCCAGATTATGTACTATTTGTGCTATGTCAACAACCTTGTTATGGTGGATGACTAAAATGCTTTCGCGACCTTCTTTTGGTTTGTGCGACGTCTTTCTGTACACCAACTCTATATTTAGACCTGGCATCCCTACAACCTATACTAGTGTGACATTTAACCTACACCAAATGACCTACAATGCCTGTGACTAAATGTGTTTAAAACAAAAACTTTTTAACCAGCTCAGAAAAAATGGGCATACAGTATACAATACACCCTGAACATGATACAACAATATAGATCATGCACAAATAAACGAAGAATCAAACTGTTTTCATTTTTTACCACACTACACTTAACAAAAAGTAAACATTTACATACCTGTTCTTTCTTTCTAAAGTCAGCAGTAAACATATAGTTACCGTACTACTGTTAAAGTTTTTTTTATTTCGGACCCGTTGTAAACATAGCATGGATCAGTGCACTTAAGGTCATGTGTTTATGGATAGTATTATTGCACTTATTTGTCAAACTACCTGCAGTGAGATAATGTAGTAGTGTAGTGGTAGTATCCATGAGAGCTTAGCGAACATTAACATTCAAAAGCCACCACTAATACCGACCGCTACGCTCTTGTAATTCATTAGCGCGCATTCAATCAGCTGTTATTTGACAATTCTCATGTTTGTTGTGGGGTTTCATTAACAATGTGGCCATACCACGTGACTTTTCGGGTACGGAACACGCCGATTTTTCACCCGATTCAGGTATGTTTTTTATTCACAACTTATTTATTACTCAACCGATTTTGACCAGATAAGGCGCAGAGTACCCGTAATTATATCAGCTATCCACGGTATATCAAAATTCTGAAAACCCCTGAATGGTTTTTGAGAACATTCGAGTACAGTTTTCTTTTCATAGCCATTGCCGAGGGGAACGGTACACACTCATTTGTCATAACAAGCAATTTCTAGCAAGTCATATGTTTTTTGGCACTATTTCATAGAAAAATACATGTTAAATCTGATGTATTTACTATGTCCAATGTATCAAGTGAATGTAGTGATGTTTTAGCATATTTTCATAAAGTTATATTGAAATGGTACGGAACACACTGTTATTTCAAAAGATACGGTACACACATACTTTCTGTCTTTGTAATAATTCTAAAATAAAATATATTAAAATTTAATTTAAATTATAATGTGAGTGATTTTTTTTTCATAGTTATACAATTTTTTAATTTAAACGAGAACCCATGGACCTGTTTTGCAATGTATCATAATGCTCACTTTTAATGTTTATGTGTATTTGTGCACTATATTTCAAGAGATCAAGCTTAACATGTAATTGTCCTATTTAAAATCACCTAGGGTATGTTTAACACTTCGATCCTCACAGAATCAGGTAGTTGCGATCTATAGAAAGAAAATGTTATGTTTATGGTTGTTTATTGTTGTTTTTTATTTATTTTAGTTTAAGTGAAGTAAGATATGTCTTTTTGCTTCATCCTGAAAAAATAAAACAATGTCATGACCTAAATCGCTGAAAAGTATCATTACTTGATTACAATTTTTATATATTTATATTTTGTTAATAATAAGCAAGTCATTAGGTACAATTTTGCAATATCATGGTCATGTTTAATTAAATCAAATCACAGAAGGCGCTTAATTTGTTTGGGTCTCAGAATGTCAGAAAGGTGAAGGCTGTGAGATTGTAAACCAATTTGTTTTTGTATAGTGCCACCAATGTTGTTTCAAGTGTCATAACTGTAGTAAATTGGCTATAAGGCTTATTGCAACACTGATATGTAATTCATTGTTTATTTGGCTAAACAATTAAAAACAAAGACATAAAAACATGAGTTGCCTTAACTTGGATTTGAACTCAGGACATCTCTCTTCCTAAACGAGCGTAAAACCCCTCGACCACGGGGAAGTTATATGATAACAGCCTGAAGAAAACCATATCATTCTAAATTAGGATTTGTAACCCTTATTAATTTCGTTTGACACCGATGTAAATAATCATGGAGCTTAATATTACATGTTTATCTGTAAAGAATTACACAATATTTGAAATCTTTGACCAATCGGGAACTACTTTTTCTTCTCCCGAGAAGGCTTGAAAATTAATGCGCCCGTCATTTGACAATCTTAACACAGTGATGTCCCCTTATTTTTTCAGCGTAAGAGTACATATAAAGGTAAGTAACCGCTTCCAGGGGTTCGGACTACTTTCTTATTTTGCAAATAAGCATATCAGAGCCTGAAATTTCGCTACCATTATTTGTTTGGTCTGACGACCCAAACAAATAAAAATGTAGTCGCCATTGCTTAAATTTTTAATGTTTAAAGGCATGAAGCTTTTAAAATAACTTTTAATTCATGTACTTAGGTCAGTTTTGCTCATAAAACTGACATTATCATGTGGCGAAATTCGAGTTTTACATTTTCTATATGGGTGGTTCCAATATTCCTACTTGAATAATGTTGAATCACCCTTAGGATATGTTGCCTGCTTTTTAAATTTGTCTTTTGACGTCTTATCTGTGATACGCAGGCTTCATAACCTCTGATCCCCTTTCAAAATTCCATTTTATTTAGTTCCGCCCATTGTTTTCTCGTTTAAGGCACACGCTTTTTATTACTTGGGGACCATACGCCGCTTTTCATGGAATGGCACGGAAGTGTCACATTGAAGGTTCCATGATTACCGCCGTATGAACACATCTGCGGATGTTTCTAAATTCAAAATTTTACTATTTCACGTTTAAATGTTGAATTCTGCTTAAGCCGGTGCTAGGGGGCGTGGACGGTAATTTGCACTTTCCAGTACCGTCCATGAACAGGCTCAATCAAACCGAGCCAGCAACATTTTCAATTTTGCCGTGTTGGGCTTTCTTTAGGGATTCTATATTTATCTATTTTACAAGTGCCCCTTTGGGTATAAATAAAGGAACGAACGGGCACCTGAGTAAAACAACCGACATTCTGTACTGTAGTAAGAAAACTTCCTCACATAAAAAAATCGAAACATCGAAGTCACTTGTGGTCTCGTACCTACTTCATGTAGTATATAAAACAGAACGCAGCCTCCAAAATCCAAAGCATTTGATTGACAAAATGGGTATTATTAAAATATCATTTTATTTTTAACACAAACACGCAAGCACACATATCCATGACCTCGAGCGTTAAATGCATCTTGAAATGAAAGTCCAAGATAGGCATAATTTTACCAAATTTCCTAACATGTATATCCTTACATGTATATGTAACAAGGTTACCTTGTATAAACTACGTTACGTTATATAACAGGCCTTGTTCCCATATGGGTTCTTCAAATTATCAAATTTTTAATTTTGATTGCACGTAAAACTGCGAAATATATTTGTCCATATGTAGATAATTTGATAATCTAGATACATGCAGTTAGTTTGGGACCCAGGCAGATGATTCATACTAAATATCATGTGGCCGAAAAAAACTTTAAACTTTCCGTTATTTAAAAAAATCCACTTACATCAAAACCAGCGTTTTTTCTCCAAATTCGATTATTTAAACAACATTTTGTTTCCAACTTACTCCTAACTTCTTGTTTGTTTATATATTCATACTTCGTTTAGACTGTCATTTATATATTCGAACAAACAAATTAAATGAAATAATAATCGCACATAACAGATGTCCTTGAATTTCACAATTCGTTTTATAATCCAAAAGAATATACCTAATTGTTTCAAATGAAAATCAAAACAAAACAAAATTTTGAATGTTTTCCGTATCCCTCCCTAAAATTTTAACATTTATAGCCAAATATTAATTGCTCAACATATAAAATCGAATTTTGCGCAACGTACTCTCAAAATGTTCTTTTATTTTTTGAATAATCCTGTTTACATCAAACTGTAGGCATAATGATACTTTGCAAAACAGGTCCCTGGGTTCTCGTTTAAATTAAAAAATTGTATAACTATGAAAAAAATCACTCACATTATAATTTAAATTAAATTTTAATATATTTTATTTTAGAATTATTACAAAGACAGAAAGTGTGTGTGTACCGTATCTTTTGAAATAACAGTGTGTTCCGTACCATTTCAACATAACTTTATAAAAATATGCTAAACATCATTTGCATTCACTAGATACATTGGTCATAGTAAATCAATCAGATTTAACATTTATTTTTCTATGAAATAGTGTCAAAAACATATTACTTGCTAGAAATCGCCTGTTATGCCAAATGAGTGTGTACCGTTCCCCTCGGCCAGTGCTATGAAAAGAAAACTGTACTCGAATGTTCTCAAAAACCATTCAGAGGTCTTCAGAATTTTGATATAGCGTGGATAACTGATGTAATTACGGGTACTCTGCGATTTATCTGATCAAAATCGGTTGAGTAATAAATAAGTTATGAATAAAAAACATACCTGAATCGGGTGAAAAATCGGCGTGTTCCGTACCCGAAAAGTCACGTGGTATGGCCACATTGATTAAGTCATAAGGTCAGGTTTATATACTTTTTAAATAACCACAGAAAATGGAAAACAGAACTTGACGAGATTCTTTTGTAAACATGGCAAAAATAAGATGATTTTGTAATATATATACAATATATATAATAATTATAAAAAACATATATTACTCATAATAATTGAAAATATTGAGACTGACATTTGTTGACAAATGCGTACTTAAGCATAATATAGTTTTCTTATCCTAAAAATGGAATACCTTTTTATAAATAGTTAAATTCATGGAAAATAGACGATTATTCTTTTATTTAAGATATACGATCTTTTTTTCATAGAGAAATAAGTGATAATATTAATTATATAAGCAAATACAGTTAAATGTAGATAAACTTAATTGTATGTGTATATATTAATTTTATTTATTTATTTATTTATTTCTTTATTTATTTACTCATTAATTTATTTACTTATATATTTATTTATTTTTAAATTATTTTGGCGTTTCAAAGACGGCTGATGTTAATAATGCCAAGTGATTTTTATTTATGTTTGCCAATTTTTCTTCCGATGTGATTCCCTTCTTTATATTTTCGATAATACCGCACGTAGGCAGGAGGTGAAGAACGGGTCTTGGGATCGTGAACAAAGTAACTGTTGTTAATTGCGAAGAACAGATGAGTTTTGGTAATTGAAATGTCTATTGAAACAATTTTGAAAACAAAAACGGACTTACACTAAAATCAAGCTTTACTTTGAGTGAAAGTTATGCATGTATTTGGGGAAAGAAACTTGCAGAAGGTTTAACTTTGATTCAATATGCAACAATCATTCCTTAATGAAACATTTTTAAAAAAACGCATGATTAAATGTGCAAAATGTCAGACAGAATTATGCAATACTAGAAGTAGTATAACTACTAATTAGAGGTTCGACAAATGTGTCCGGTATAACGAAAGGCTGTTATGTGCAGTGTTACTGTACTTATTAATATTGGCGAAAGACAA